GGAGGTGGAGCTGGAGGTGGCAGAGTTAAAGATGCTAAGATTCTCTTTAGGAGTGACAAGAATGGACAGGATTAGGAATGAGGTCATTAGAGGGACAACACAGACAGGGAGGTTTGGAGAAAAAGCTAGAGAAGCCAGATTGAGATGGTTTGGACATGTGCAGAGGAGGGACAGTGGATACATTGGTAGAAGAATGTTAGAGATGGAGCTACTAGGTAGGAGACAAAAATGAAAGCCAAAGAGGAGATATATGGATGCAGTGAGGGAGGACATGCAGATAGTTGGAGTCAGAGTAGAAGATACAGAGAACAGGGAGAGATGGAAAACAGCGATTCGCTGTGGCAACCCCTGAAAAAGGGACAAGCCGAAATGAAAAGAAGAAGACAAATGACACCTCCTGGACTCCATATGGAAAAGTGTGTTCCACGTGTTTAAGAGCAGCTGCTTCAAAACAGGTCTCTGCTCTTTGTATATGCATTTTTCTCCTACATGTTCCAAGTCATCTGTCAGGCTACAAACGTTACAATTGAACATGTACCTAAATGTGAAACTTTTATGATTTATTCCACAGCACACATGTTCTTTTTTGTGTAATTGGCCCAAACAACAAGAACAACAACAAAACCTACTGCTTCCAGTTGCCCTAGATGTAACTATTTTTCGATTAAATTACCTGGATGACTGAGAACCTACACAGACATCGATTTTTATAAATTACTCAAATTTAATTACTAAAGTTTAACATTCTCTAGTTCAGGGATTTTTACATTTGTTAAACTGACCTGTCACAGGGGAGTGGAGGGGTTTGTGTGGTCATGTGGCGTGATGTCATGTCTTTTTCTGCACCTTCTATCAAACCAGTCGCTGCCCTCACGGCTGTTCTCTGTTCTCAGGCGGACATTTGTCTGTAATCTCTCTGGTCTATTCTTACTCAGTGTTTCCATGACTGAGCTCTGACATGTCGTCAGCAAGAACGGTGCCTCAGTGAATCAATAGGAGATTATTGTGTGTGTTTGTGTGTGTCAGTGTGTGTGTGTGTGACTGGGATTTGTTACTAACACCAGGGAGGAGCTGCACATACACCCTCCACAACACTAATAAAGGCAGAGTACCACAAATAGGCAAACACAGCCGTTATGCAGCTCAAGTCTGGAAGAACTTTACAAGTGGAACTGACTGTATCACAGAGTGCCTCTGCTTGTTTGAATTTATTAAATAAGAATTTATTATAAACAAATGCACAAACACATACTCACACACATGCAAACACGCATTTACTGAACATGGAAAAACAGTTAAAATACCAATAATAATTTATTTTTATTTACTTATTTACTTTTATCTGGACCAGGGGTGTGAAACTCATTTTAGTTCAGGGGCCACATACAACCTAAAAAGACAAGTGGGCCGGACCAGTACTATTAGAATTTAATTAACTATTATTACCAATAAATCCATGTTTTCCCCTTTGTTTTAATGCAAAGAAGTACAAGTATATTAGACATGTATTATTACTTTGTCATATTAAATGAAATGTGTTTGTGTATTTTTTTTTTCAAAATTCATCAAGTGGGCCAATTTTGGTTCCCGGGCCATATGTTTGACACCCTTGATTGAGAGGATTGCATTTGCTTTCAAGTTTTTTGTGTGATCTTATTGGGCCTAATTCAAAACTTACAAGTGAATGCATTTATCAATTCATCACATGTGAAATCAAATAGTTTAAAATGTCTGAATTATACTCCTGTCCCCTGTTAGTCTTTGCCTTCTCACTGTTTTAACATACTCATCTTTAACAGTGTTATATTAAATCTGTTTTATTTAATATTTCTTATTTTTATGGCTTCACGTGTATGATTTAATGTTTTGGTATGAAATTAATCCGGGATGAATCTCCCCTAATGTCTTAATCTCATGATGTCAAACTCCACATTAGACAAAAAGAAAACACTTTTCCCTTTCATTCTGTAAATTAAGAACAGTAGCTATGAACACAAAAAATCTTTGC